TCGGGCCCCACAGCCCGGGCGGGGACAGGGCGGTCTGGAAGCTGCCGCCGGCCCTCCGAGAGGCGGCGGCTCCTCAGCTCCAGCCGCCCCGTCCCCGCCCGGGCTGTGGGGCCCGAAGGGAAACATGACCAACACCCCCGCCCCCTATTCCGGGCCGCTGTCCCGCCGCCCGACAACTCAGCGCTCCCGCTCCAGTCGCCACTTCCGGGTGCCGCGTCCTAAATCCGCCGGCTGGGAAACCCGCGTCACCGCTAGGCTGCCCTCCGTCGGGGACCCAAAAGCAGGTACACCGCCGAGTCGGGAGCGCCCCTGCCCAGGAGGACTGTGAGGTCAGGAGCGACTAGCCCTCTGTGAGCAAGGTCGGACGCACAGGACCAGCTACAAGCAGCTGAGTCGAGTCGGCCCATAGCTGACAGGGAGCACGACTTGCTGTGTGCCTGACCAGTCCGACGAGACTGGGTCGGATTACCTACTGTTGTCCTTACGAGATTGGGCGGGGTGGGGGTGGGGTAGGTACATTACTGTATTATATGTAGGTCACACAGTAAATCTCTTGCGCACTGCCTACTCAGCCTAGAAGTCTAAAGATTCAAGAACATTCGCACGTGAAAAGTACTAGACTGTACAGTGCCTAGGCTCTGTATCGGTGACTTAAATATCTGCCCAAATCTGCCTTCTCTTCCGTTCTCATACTGATCTGCTGAGCACTGCACGAAGGGCCTTTCTCTCTGCTGCAGCTGAGTACAAATAACCTGTTTTTGGGGAAAGCGTTAACAAGGAGTGGGGGCTTTCCGTGGAAGGAACCTTAGTTCTCAAAAAGGAGAGCTTGAGGGAAAAGAAAAGGCAGATACAAGAACTGACAGATTTTCTAGGTCTTGTTAAGGGCAGCGTTGTAGGAAGTTCACATTTGGTACTGTAATGGTAAACCTGGAGGACGATCCAGCCTGTGAAGGTAGACCTGGAAGACGTCTGCAGGGAGGTAATTAGACAGGCAATGGCTGAACTGTCTGCAGAAAATCAGTAAGTCTTAATTTAGTTTGTATTGGCTCCAGATAATCAGATTTCACAGTTCAGAGATTCAACATGAAAAACATACCAAAGTCCCAAAGCCATTTAAGAGCTGTTCATGGAGGGTATGGTTCAGTGGTGGAGCGCTTGCCTAGCTTGTGTGAAACCCCGACTTTAAACCCCTAGTACTGTAGAGAAGACAAAACAAGTGTTCACTAATACAAATTCAAGACAAGTGGCAACCCAGGGAATAAGTAATTTAGTAATACCTTGTTAAAATGTTTGTATTTAATATGTGAGTACTCATTTATTCCAAATATTTTTTCACTAAAACCTAAAATAGGAGCATATTACACATGTCTAAGATCCTATAACATCAAGAGGGGCAGGAGTGGGAACTGGGATAGGTATGTAAAATGAGAAAAGATTGTTTTAAAAAATAAATTTAATAATTAAAAAAGATTCTGTAACATCAGTAAAAAAAACTGAGAAGACACTGAAACAGAACTAAATTTAGCTGCACCTGTTCCTGTGGGCCCTACATTAAGAGTCTATATGCACAGCCATGTTAATAAGGAGCCGACGTCAGATCAGTCTATATCAACCAATTTCTAGGTAATACCATTTGGAAAGCTAAAAGATTTTCAACTTTAGCCAAAATTCAATTAGATGTCTACTCATATTTAAAGCATCATGGGAATTCCTTTGCCTTAGAGTCCTTTTGGATCACAGTGGAAGCAAATAATCAACAAAGACTTTCTGAACTGTGTCCCCAAGTCTCAAGTGTCACATGTCCCTGAACACTCAAGGACTTCATCAGGCAGGTGGGGAACAATTTTTTTTTCTCTAACCAATAACTAGATGTTTTGTATTTTTAATTGCTATCCAATGGGTGTCTTCTAATGCAGCCTAACTGAAATGATAAATACTGGCCTTTCCTGTCAGGCTTTTATCCTTTCGGAGCAGTGAGTTCATTCTCTGTCTGTTTAGTATCCTTGTCTCTGCCCAGTGAATAGTATCCCTTGTTAGGAACGATGTCGATAAAGTGAACAAGGCGGTTGGCCATAGCGTAGAAAGCTGTGATGGTAGCTATGTCCCAGGCATCTTCTCTGCTGAAGCCATGCATTTCAAGCTTCTTGAAATGGTCATCTGTTATGTCATCAGCTTGGGAAACGGCAAGTGCAAACTCTATCATTGCTTTTTCTCGAGCAGAGAGGTCAGACTTTCTCCAGTTTATACAGACCTGCAATGAAACACACAATCAGAATCTTAGTCCAGTACAACACAGCTAATAAAATTCACAATGCAGTGGAATCAATGGGGAAAATCCCTCAAGGTTATTCTAGAATAAAGGGAGCAAAGTTAGGCCAGAACGAGAAATATCTTGGTTTATAACCTAATGGAATATAAACTGGAAATCTAGTTCAAAACCATGTCTACCAAGAAGTGTTTTTGCAGGACTAGAAAGACGCCTCCATAGCCTTCTCTTGCAGAGGAGCTAGATTCAGTTCACAACTATCTGTAACTCCAGTTTCAGAGAATCTGACACCCTCTTCTGACCTCTGAGACCAGGCATACACATATGGTACAAATACATGCAGGCAAAGCACGCACGCGCGCGCACACACACACACACACACACCAAATAAATATTCTTAAAAGTCTTTTTGTTTATTCTAGCTTCAAAACCCTCTTTATTTTCAGGCTGGAAAAATGGCTCAATAGTTAAGAGCATTTACTACTCTTTCCCAGGACCCAGGTTCAGTGTCCAGCACCCACATATATCCCGCGCTACTGTCTCGCCCGCAAGAACGACGCGGGACACTTAGGATCCTTCTGCAGAAAAGCTTTAATGCGTCTTGAGAGGGAGAGCATAAGCTTACATGGCAGAGACCCAGAATGAGGGGAACCCAGCCCTTATAAAGGAAACAGTCCTCGCTTCTGACGTGTCACTCTTGGATTGGTCCGCTGCCCATTATCCCAGATGATGCCTCGGAAGTAGGCAGGGACGCAGCAGTAGTAAGTTACCAAGCACGTGCGCTGGGATTAAAGGCGTGTGCTACAACACCTTGAACTCACAGAGATCTGCCTGTCTCTGCCTCCCAGGCATTGGGACCAGAGGCGTGTACTACCACACCTTGAGGTCACAGAGGTCAATCTGCCTCTGCCTCCCAGGCATCGGGACTAAAGGCGTGTACCACCACACCTTGAGGTCACAGAGGTCAATCTCTACCTTTGTCCCTTGAAGCAATGGAGAATGTGATTGCGGCCCTCCACACACATACTGGCTCACACTTGCAATAACCCCAGTTCCAGGGGATCCAATACCCTCTGCTAGCCTCCAAGGATACCTGCATGCGTATAGTGCACATAAACTCATGTAGGCTTGCACACATACCCATAACTTTAAAAAAGAAAAAGCCCCCCCCACACACACACCGGACACAGTGACAATCCATTCTATTCAAAGCTGAGACAAGAGGATTATTAATTCAGTTTAGTAAAAGTCTGGGAGAAAAAAAAAAACCAAGACAGTGTCTCTTGAAAAAAACCAAACAAATCCTCCCTTTTCCTCTAAACATTTGTAGCTTAAAAACTCTCAGAGTCAAAACCAGAAACCTTGTACCTGAAGAGCTTGCCTTCCAGATGAGAACAGTAGAGCTCACAGGCTGCCCCGCTGTCCCCAGTGATGCCCAATCAAGACACAATATTTGTGACATTAATGGTTTCTACTTATTCAACTATGGTGGCTCATGCTGAGGCAGGAGGCTCCCTGAGAGGCTACACTGTGAACTCCCAATGTAGGACAAAGGGGCCGATCTGGAAGTTACCTGCAGGCTAGTCACACAACCTCCACCCAGGCCAGGTCAGGAGAGAAGACCATAGGGCCAGAGAGACTGATGAATCTCCACTTGAGAATAATTCAGAGAAAATGTTTTAGTTCCCCAGCTCCAAAACCAAGGGATTTCATTGTCGAAATTAGAACTAGCGAAGCTTTGTGGCAAATCCTCATTGGCTGTCTCTATCCTCAGCCATTTTCTGAATAATTAGGATGACCTGTGAAGGCCAAAAGCCTGATTTGAGATGAACCAAGGGCAGAGTAAGGCACTTACTGGGGAAACAGGACCAACTTCACAATCAATCTTGGTGATAAGAGAGGACAGAGCCCATTCCAGAAAGATAAGCAGATTGGCCCAAAGCCTGGGGCCAGAGCTAAAATAAATAAATAAAAGAAAAGCTAATACTCTGACTTGGCCCCTGTTGTAATAATCAGTGAATGTACCGTTTGGCACTGGGAAATGAAAGCAGTGCAGCATAGCAGCAAAGAACAGCTTTGCAGTAAGACTCATCCTACAGTTGGATGCTCCATGCCGAGGGCAACCTCTGAACTGAGAGTGTAAAATAGTTAAAGAAACTCTCCCTTAGAGAAAAGAGAATATAGGCCAAGTAACCAGTACTTTTGGATAAAGCCTAGGGGTTCAGGTACTCCCTACCTCCACATAACATGTATACTGAACACAGCAGGAGGGACTAGTGGTGGGGACTCAGAGAGTGGGAAAACTTGAGGTGTATGCCCCACATCTTA